CAACCTAGCAGTTCGGAAACACATAAAAAATGCAAGTAGAAAAATAGGGACCACCTTTGGTGGGAAGGTAACAGCATTCCGTGCTCCTTCAGTGTTTAGTCATGCCAGCCACATGACCATGGAGACGTCTTTGGACAGCGCTGGCTTTTCGGCTTTGAAACGGAGATGAACACTGCACCCTAGAGTTGGGAATGACTAGCACATATGTGCGAGGGGAACCTTTACCTTTTTATCAAATTGGCATGATCCTGGTGAAAAACCAGCTCTAAGTGCTCCCTGGTTTTTCACCCAATTAAAAGTAAAACTTTGTCACTTCCCCTCCCCGAGTCTCCAGTCACATGGTCCAATCAGCATACACTCCAGGCACCTGCACCAACATCCTTGCTTCCCAGGGGAAAGAATTTTATTTAGGCTACAATACCCCAGCTATCTCTACACCCACTTTCCTGGCTCCTTTGCTCCAGGCTGCGTCAGCCCTGAAGCAATGAGAAAAGAAACCTCCCTAGGGAATTACAAAAGGAAAATGGCCCCAGTTTGACCAACTTCAGGGTTGACACCTGGATTTCTTAGTAGTCATGACCTAACAAGCTGCTGTAAGAATGATCAAGATAATGTCCATGAAATGCTTCAGACTCTGTAATTGTCCTGCTTTTATGGTGTTTGTACAACATTCCAAGAACATTGCCCATTAAAATGTTTTTGTCCTTGCCCTTAGATTAGTGTGCTGAAATAAGAAAAATTAGGCTGTGCTTTATAATATCAATGAAATCTCAATGCTACAGGCTTTTTTAGAAGCTACCCAGATAAGGAAGCCTCAGGTTAGAGGCTACTTATTCCACTTATTTTGAAATCTTGTAGTAGATTGAGCCCTTCGGACATCAACACCTGTGAGATTATTCTTTCTTTTTAGTTGAAAGTGGCCTTCGCGAAGCAATTAGTGCTTGTGTAGTTTCTTGAGCTAATTAGCACTTATTAAGGATTTGAGATTGATCCCCATAGGACTTGCCTCGGTTTTGATATCACATGGTCGCAAGTTCTTCCTTATATTCCAGTTAGTTAAATCTTTCATTCTTCGTTTTTCTTGCTCCGTTAGATTAAAATTATGTTCTTGACACATAATTAACCATTTCTTCTGCTTATTGAGAATAGCTTTTCAACTTTAGTCAAACTCATCCATTTTAGGTGCACATGTATCAGTGATGGGTTGCTATCGGTTCACCCCAGATCGGGTGAATTGGTAGCGGTGGTGGCGGGAGGCTCTGCCCACCCACCCGCCCACCCAGACATTTCTGCGCATGTGCAGAAGCTTCTGCGCATGCGCAAAAGTGTTGCATGTGCGCGCGCTCACGCGTGTGCTCACGAGCGATGGGTTTTGAAACCTGCCCCTGGCATGTATGTAGATTAATATATACATTGCCATATTTGTCTTTTCCACCTGGTAGAACATCATCAAACCTATTTCTGTGTATTCCCTTCTCAAAAGATATTCATCAATATTAAATATGCTGAATCGATCAAAGTCGGGTGCCTTCTTTAATTAGATCTAATTCATCTAAATTACACCTCTTCAGAGTATATCTTAATTCCTTATAATGCTGGACTGACAAAAAAGATTTCTCATACAGGCTGGGTAAAAGTGCAAACAAGTAAATAAACATATCACTAATTTGTGTTTACTTGCCTACAAGCAAGGCAGTTGTCACACATATCAGAGGTTTCTCTGGGTATGTATTTCTCTTTCAGCCAAGAGGGATTTTTACTTAGGACATTTAAGGCAATTACAGCAGCCTCTGTCTTATCTGTAAGCCCACTGTCAGGGTTCCAAGTAACACCCCCAACGAAATCAAACTTCGAAGTTTGAGTTTCCTCAAAACTAATTTTTATTAGAGATGTCATATTGGCACATCTGTGAAAACCCGAATCTGAGAGCTTCTGGGTTTTCCTCACCCAAGAGAAAGTTCAAGTCCTCACCCACACGTCCATCACACGAACAAATCAGGTGCCCTCCGGAACAGAAGATATGTCCTCATTCTTCTCAGCACAGCTGCAGGGCACATTGGCCTTGACTTTCTAAAAGAATTCTATTTTGACTACATATCTTCTTCACTCCATACAATCCCCCCTCCCATTTTCCACAGTAGAATTTGTGGTAGGCCTGAAACCTGAAGGCCCGAAAGTAGAAAGATGGCTTCCAGATCTGACGCCCACAACTTTTCTTTGCATTCAATGAATTTTGTCAATTGAGGCAGGGATGGCATATAGTATTGTGGTGTACAGGGTATAAAAAACAGATGGGCAAACTGCAGGATATATTTCCCTTCTCACAAGGCATGGGCATTGCCCATGAAACTGGCCACCACCTCATTCACTTCCATTCCATTAATCCTATATCACTAAGACAAGAACAAGCAGAACTGGAGGGCAGAATTAAGTGTGTCATCAGCTTAGAATCATTATGTTCTCACAAGCGACCAAGTCCAATCCCTCCTGAATTCCCTTGACTCTTCTCTGGTGCCAATTTAGTGTTGAGTTGACCAGATTCATCTGTATAGGCTTAAAAACATTTTTTATGATGCAATCTAAGATGGTCCTGATTCTTTGCACCTGACAATATCATCTTTAAGATGACCCTCAAGTTCTAAATTATTCCACAAAGGTAATCATGTGAGCTGAAACCCTGGTCCCCATGTTGTGGAAGAATCAGAATCAGAAGAGAAGAGAAGAGAAGAGAAAGGGACCTTGGAGGTCTTCTAATCCATCCCCCTGATCAAGCAGGAGAAACTATACTAATTCAGACAAGTGACTGTCCAGTCTCTTCTTAAAAACCTCCAGTGATGGAGCACCCATGATTTCTGGAGGCAAGCTGTTCCACTGGTTAATTGTCCTCACAGTTAGGAAGTTTCTCCTTAATTCGAGGTTGCTTCTCTCTTTGATTAGTTTCCATCCATTGTTCCTTGTCCTGCCCTCTGATAGTTTTCCAGTCTTTCTCCTAGAAGTTAAACTTGCCCCAAATTAGAACAGAGTTGGGATTTTGGTGAACTTTTTAAATTAATTGGATAACATCAGAGGAACTTTGGCATCCTCCACTCCTTTGGGCCTTTTAGAATTTTATGACATTTAATATAGACATTCTAGAGCAGTGGTAAAATCCAATTTTTTTCCCTATCAGTTCTGTGGGCGTGGCTTGGTGGGCGTGGTGTGGCTTGGTGGGCGTGGCAGGGGAAGGACACTGCAAAATCCCCATTCCCTCCCCACGCCAGAGAGAAGGATATTGCAAAATCTCCATTCCCACCCCACTCTGGGGCCAGCACTCTGGCATTTTCCGGTTTTCCAAACTACTCAAAATTTCTGCTACTGGTTCTCCAAACTGTTCAAAATTTCTGCTACCAGTTCTCCAGAACCTGTCAGAACCTGCTGGATTTCACCCCTGTTCTAGAGTCATGTACACTACAGAGAGTCATACGATTATGTTGGGATAAACATCTAAGAAACAAAGAGATAATAAACAAAGAGATGCATGAGAAGGTTTTTACCGGACATTGCCACAGCCCTTTTCAGGTGTTTTGCTAATGAACTGATTGAAACCTGCGAATGCTGTTGTTGTACTGGCTGAGAATTATGGGTCTTGGAGTGCAATAGTTCAGGAGAGTGCAAGATTGAGGAACGACTACTTTTAAGAGAGCAACGGGAACTGTCCAAACTAAGGACAGTGGCCTTATAGGTTAGAAAGATAAGTAATGTAAGCACCCAACTGCTTCTAATGGAACAGAGAGGAACGGCTGAAGAATCAAAAGCTAAATCCTATTATCATAAAGACAGTTCAAACAGAGAAACCCCTGGATGTGAAAATAACTAGAGATAGATTCCTAGAGGCTCTCAGGATTAGGCAGTTGTTTTTTTTTCTTTTCTGATTATCATTTCAAAGTGCAACAAAGAACTTCATTCTAGGCTATATTATGAAGGGGCTGTGTGTGTGTGTGTGTGTGTGTGTAAACCACTGCTTCCCAGTTCTAATCCTAAGGAAATAATTTCAAGGTCAGTGTCCAGGCTTCGGCCGGCTGCATAGCCGTAAATCTCTCTATAAATTCAGCTGGCACTCATTGGAGCCAGCAGTGGAAGAGTCAAGGATGAAGCTCAGCCAGATAAATTATTGTTATTGCCCTTACAAGACGCCGGTCATAACAAAGAATACCCATTACTGCACCGTACAGTCATCCAGCCTCAGCATTTAAATTTCACATCTCTTGCCCTTGCTCTCTAATGCGGTAACAGATTTTTGCTCCTTATTTGACAGCCTTAAAAGTGGAGGCCCAGTTCATTTTGATAACGGTCCTGTCAGGTCTCTCACTGTTCGTTTCCATCCTTGGCAACTTTAGCCCTCCCATGCACTCTTCCTCATTTTTATTTAAAAATTTCCTTTACGTTACTTTGAAGGAGCCCGGCAGACTCATTCCAAATAAATGAATCTTAACCTGTAAAATTTCTGTCTGCAGTTTTAACATTGCCGTTTAGAGAACGATAAATTAAAAGCATTTCAGTACTATTGATGGAAGATCTTCCTACCCCCAAAGTGGGTGATTGAATATTTGGATAGTTCTTTTAAACCTTTAGACTATTCTGCTGGAATCTGTGGTTACATTTTACCCTGTCACTATGGCTTCTAATTGGAGGGAGCATATACTATGTCTTCTCCCCCAGGACAGCAAAACTGATTAAAAGGATGAGAGTGACTAGCAAAAATGCTATTCAAACAGAACCCCTTTGAGACTCCCGCGAAGACAATAATCCACCCAGGAACACGTTGTGCAAATGTTATTGCACAAAACATTGTTTCGTTCCCGCCACCCACAGAGGAAAAACAATGGGTTTTAGGTGGGGGGGGGGAGAGAGAAAGAGAGAGAAAGAAAAAGAGACTCTGAGGTTTGCTTAAATATTGGATTTTTGTTTTTTCTTTCCCCATCATATTAAGGAAAGCTTTTGTGTCTTTTGCTCCCCTGTAGGTTTCAAATCCAAAGGTGTGACTGAACTGATCAGAGAAATCGTAAAAGAGCAGTTTAAAGCCTTCCAAAGTGACATGCAAGAGACAGTGGCTCAAATTTTCAAGATCACATCTGATCTCTCCGAAGATCTTGAGAATACCAAAGGCTTGGTCAAAGGTTTGAATAAATCCTGCCAGAGATTTGCCCTTGATATTGAAAACAGACCTACAAGGGTTGAAATACTAGACATTCGAACCCAGATCTTGCATATTGAAGACGATATCAGCTTTACGTGTGAGAGGCCAATCAAAGAACTGCAAGAAAAGCAGAGATCTTTGGAAGCTGACTTAGAGCACCAAAGCTCAAAGAGTGATATTTACTATGGGTCTCTGAACAAAACTCTTACACAAATGAAAGAAGCACATGAACAACTGTTATCAGTGGAACGAAGCTCGGTCCAGAATGTACCCATAGCTGCTGAATCAATGAATGATAATCTTACAAATTTCGTGACAAATTTACAGGAGAAAATGAAGACGCAGAACTTGATGGTTTTGCAGCTGTACGATGATCTCAGGATCCAAGACAACAAGATCAATAACCTTACCATCTCATTAGAAATCCAGAGACATGACCTACAAGGTAGATGTGACAACATATTGTCCGAATGCAAAAGTGACATCCAACTGCAGATAAGGGGCGTGGAAGGGGATATTCGTTCCTTAAATAAAACTGTGGAGAGTCTTGTATTTCCCTTGGATGATAAGATGGAGAAAATGAACGAGCAGATCAATGACCTCTGCTATGACATGGAGATTCTCCAGCCTTTAATTGAACAAGGAGTTCCTTTCAGCCTTTCATCCGAGGATGAGTTACGGCTCGAAACAGATGCTATTAGCAGAAAACTGGAGAATTTAACCAACCTTGTGACAACGCTGAACTTCACCATTGTGGAACTCCACAAAAATCAGAAGGAACTTAAAACTGACGCTCAGACTCAAGATGAAATTTCTAGGACGCGTATTGATGAATGCTTTGTTTTGGTAGAGGAGGGGTTAAACAAAACCATGATTGTTATCAACAGTGCTATTGATTCCATCCAAGATAACTACGTCCTCAAAGAAGCCCTGAATGCTTGGAAAAACGAGACCGAAGCTTGCTGTGATCGTGGGGAGAAGATGGAAAATGTGTTGACGTTAATACCGCAATTCCAAAAGATGAACGAATCCCTTCAGATACTAGTCAGCCAAAACGAGAAACCAAAGAGAATTTGGCCCCTTGTAGAATCTTCCTTTGGCGAACGGGACATCCATCACCTCAGCAAAGGTCACCCTAACCCAAACACCACATTATTAAATGTTCAAGAGCACAAGAGAGACGCTGGTCACCCAGATGACAAAATATTGCACTCCAGCAACGAATACAACGATCATGAAATGCGTCTGCAGGCCGTGGAGGGGAAAATCATCAAATTCTTGGCAAACAACTGTGTCTCAGTGAGAAATGTGAAAGCGGCTGCCACAGAAAATGAGAAAACCGTCTCTGTTCAGCTTCAGACCTTCAATTCCAGAATCAGGGCTCTTGAAGCCAAAAGCATCCGCTTATCGCTGAGTATCCCACTCTTAAACAAGACAGCCAACGAAGCAAGGAACTTGTGTGAGGATGTCTCTGGAACCATTAGAGAAATGAATGCCAGCCTTCCCAAACTGATGCCAACCATTCACTCAGATGGCATATTGTTTCAGAAGGGCTTCCAAGAGCTCACTGGCGCCATGATAGAGGCCAAAACAGAAACACTTCTAGCCAACCTAACTTTGTATGTAGACAAGTCCCTAGAAGGGGCAATAGACAGTATAACCAAACGGTTAAAGGCAGCTGCTACTCTTCCGAAGAAGCCACTACCTGGGAAAAAGACACCCATGAACAGCGTTACAAATCAGGCTGGAAGAAGTCAGAGAAACACTGATTCTGCTTTAGAAACAGGTAATATTTCATTTAATATTTCATTTAATATTACCACTCTTATTGGTGTCACCTGAAATGTTGTTTGATAGATGTGTTTCCTTTATTCACAATGCATAAATGCAAAAGGATTTAAGCGCTCTTTTGTTTTTTGTAAAAAAAAATCTGTCATTTTTATGGGAAAATGAGATTCTGTACATGAGCAGATTGTGTATTTATGTCCTTAAAAAAAAAACAACAACAATAACAAGCCCATGGCACCAAGTATGAATTCCAACTGAACATCAAAATATTTAGCAGGGATCTCTTTTGCTTTACTGACTAGGTTCAAATGTTGGGGGAAGTCATAATTTGTTTCTATATGTTTTACTGAATTGGCTGGGTTTACATCACATCGCTTGCCAAAACTCAAACAAACCACCTTATGGTTATCACAGTCTTTGTGGGTTCACATATCTGAACTCAGCTACTATGTAGAATTATTTTTCTCCAACCAAATCTGTTGGAATTACATTTTCTAGAACTCCCAAGCTGTGAGATTATGAATTCTGGTAATTTTATCTCCAAACCTATAGGACGATAGGTTTTGAAATAAAAAGAAATACAGAAATCATAAAAATAAAATAAAAAACTAGATGCTGGAGCAAGCAGGGGACGTTTGTATAGGCTAGCTTTCTCAAATCTGGTCCTCTTCAGATTTGTTCAGATTGCAACTCTCAAAATCTCTCGACCAATTTGATAAATGGCTATTCTAACTGGGGATTCTGAGGGAGGGTTATTGTATGCTATTTTCAGCCTCTTGTGTTAGAAGGTTTTCCACATGCTTATTATTTATTTATTTATTCATTTATTTATTTATTTATTTATTTATTTATTTATTTATTTATTTATTTTATTTTATTTTATTTTATTTTATTTTATTTTATTTTATTTTATTTCTATATCGCCCTTCTCCCGAAGGACTCAGGGCGGTGTACAGCCTAATTAAAAACACAAAGACAGACAATATTTAAAAATAATTAAAATTATTAAATAGTAGGCCCAATTTATAAAACCCCGAATTTAAAAACCCAATTTAAAACCAATTAAAATCTTTATATTGATAGCCCAGCCTGGCGGAACAACATGGTTTTGAGGGCTTATTAAACATGTTCTGTGTCTGCAGACTTTAATCTTCCTGATCTGAGGAGAATTGTTGGCCCAAGGCAGGGATGGGGACCTCTGGCCCTTTGATGAGTTATGGACTTCAACTCCCAGAATTCCTGAGCCAGCTGGCTCAGGAATTCTGGGAATTGAAGTCCACAAGTCATAAAAAGGCCAGAGTTTCCCCATGTCTGGGCTAAGGGCTTGTCCAACAGTCATGCGACCTTCCTGAGCTTCTCAGGAATATTTGCTTAGGTCTAAAACTGACCTAAAATTATATTAGGTAGTCCTCACTTTCTGACCACAATTGAGCCCAAACTTTATGTTGCTAAGTGAGACATTTGTTAAGTGAATTTTGCCCCATTTAACAACCCTTTTTTTAACCACAGTCTTTAAGTGAATCATGTTATGGAAGTAACATGGTTGTTAAATGAATCTGGCTTCCCCATTGATTTTGTTTGTCAGAAGGTAGCAAAAAGGGATTACATGACCCCAGGACACTGCAACCATCATAAATATGAGTCAGTGGACAAGTGCCTGAATTTTAATCATGTGACCTTGGTGATGCTGCAATGGTTGTAAGTGAGGAAAATAGTCATAAGTCACTTTTTCAATGCTGTTTTAACTTCAGATGGTCACTAAATGAATTGTTGTAAGTCGAGGATGACTTGTGTAAGACAACGTGGATAAAAAATAATCTAAAATCAACCAAAACAAAAGAGATGAGAATAGAATCACTGTACTATAAGGTGAAGCTAAACACTTCCATCAGAATGATGGCCATATGTTGTCTTCTTAGCAATTGTATGGAAACGATCAATCTAACAGTTTTCCGCTGTGCTCTTAAGACCCTGCTCTTCCGACAGGCAGGGCTAGCTTCATAATTGAGTTTTAAATTCGGAATTCTTAAATTTTTGGGTTTTTTAGCTAATTGGCCTTGAATGTAATACTTTTAATAATTTTTAAATTTAAATTGTGATATTTGTATTGTGTTTTTACCTGGCTGTACACCGCCCCGAGTCCTTCGGGAGAGGGATGGTATAGAAATAAAATTATTCTATCCTGTCCTATCCTAACAATGGGCCACCATAATACAAGTCAATTTAGAATTTATGAGAGAAAAAAGCAGTAACTTCCTAGAGATAAGACTAGAGTTAGTAGCAGTAGCAATAGCACTTAGACATATATATATCACTTCACACTGCTTTACAGCCCTCTCTAAGTGAGGCACAGTGGCGCAGTGGTTAGAGTGCAGTACTGCAGGCTATTTCTGCTAACCGCCGGCCTCCGGCAATTTGGCAGTTCAAATCTCACCAAGCTCAAGGTTGACTCAGCCTTCCATCCTTCCGAGGCCGGTAAAATGAGGACCCAAATTGTTGAGGGCAATAGGCTGACTCTGTAAACCGCTTATAGAGGGCTGTAAAGCACTGTAAAGTCGTAAGTCTAAGTGCTATTGCTATTGCTAAGTGGTTTACAGAGTCAGCCTATTGCCCCCAACAATCTGGGTCCTCATTTTACCGACCTCAGAAAGATGGAAGGCTGAGTCAACCTTGAGCCAGTCAGGATTGAACTGTTGAACTGCTGGCAATTGGCAGTCAGCAGAACTAGCCTGCAGTACTGCATTCTAACCACTGTGCCACTACGGCTCTTCAAGTAGTAGTAGAGTATATAGTAGACTATAAACATAACATAATGTCCTAAGTTTTCTTTGCAAGGAAATCAGCATTGTTCCTGAGGAGTCAGCTAAATAATGATTATGGAACGGAGACTCCACACAGGTGTGGCAAATGCTTTATAAAGTCCCCGGGCTATAGGATTTCTTCAAAGACAAGACAAGACATATTATTTTAAATTATCTTTTTAAAAAATGGATTTGAAAAACAGAATTATTTGCACGCACAGTAGGGTGCATTGGTGAACAGCAAAGGCCCTTTCATTCTTTTTTGTGCCTTGTTGTCTACATTTAATAATTTAAATTTTAAATATTAAATTTTAATAAATGTATGGCATATTAAATAAATCAATCCATTTCCATTCCTTTCATCTCAGAGCGCCTTTCAGAGAATACCTAAGTGCTTGCAGTTTCTCTGACAATCCAGCACACAAAAACTTTAAACCGGATTTGGGCTTCAACAATATTCATCCCTCTGTTTCATATCTTAGCTGCTTAATAAACCTTAATTCCCTGGGAGCATCGTTTCTGCCACAGTAAAAACAGTAGAAGTCAGCAGTTGTATGAATGAAGTACAGCAGCTCATTTTACTTTACTTTACTTTTTACTTTACTTTACTTTTTATTTTTACTTTAACCATCTTTCCATGAAGGCGGTTCATGAACAAACAGCATGTAGATGACAAAGATGATTTCCAAGAGATTAGGAAAAGTGGATGGATTCACCCAAAGTTCTATCAAACCATTCATCTAGCTACCCTAATATTACTTCTGTAATTATGGAAAACTTATACTCTCTTAAGATTGATTTTACCTAGTGCACCAATTCCACTGTGAACAAACTCTTGGTGGTCCTTTTTGTTGCGGGATAAAAAAGCCTCACAATCTAGGATAATGAAACTCTACATCAGGGGTGTCAAACTCAAGGCCCGGGGCCCAGATCTGGCCCGTGAGGTGCTTAGATCTGTCCTGCGGTACTGCCCTGGAAAGAGTGAAGGATTGGCCCATGGTGCCTCTGCCAGCGAAAAACGGGCTCCCAATCTCCATTTTTGGCTGGGACGGCTTCCTGCAACCCTCTGCCAGCGAAAATTGAGCTCCCAAAACTTTAACCTTAGACTGTCTACTGTAGACCTCACCCCATTCCTAAGAGGTCTGTAAGGGGCATGCATAAGCGCACCAGCGGGCCTACCGTCCCTGTCCTAATGTTTTCTTTTATTCGTATCCTTTTCATGTATTTATAATTATGCTTATGTTTATAATTATTGGGAGCCCGTTTTCACTGATAGAGCACTTGGGCTACTAGAGGTGCCCCTGACATGAGTGACATCAATCTGACCATGCCCATTCTAGCCACACATACCCCGCCCCCCTCAAAGTCAAACACAACCCTGATGCGGCCCTCAATAAAATTGAGTTTGACGCCCTTGCTCTACATTATATGGGTGAGTCTGGACCTTCTCCCATTGATGGTTTATGCTTATTGAGAAGGTCACTCTAGAGGTTTTTTTTTCATTCATCCACGAGATATGGAGCTGAAAGCCAAGAAGCCAAAGAAGTTATTTTCTATAGGGTGCCTCCAAATGACTTATAGAAAGACACAACCAAGTGATTTATAGAAAGGCCCACAAAATTATGTCTGTTATACTGTTGGAAGGAAGACAATTCTTATTATAGATTAGTTCTCAACAGAGATTTAGATTTTCCTCTCACTCCCCAACCCCACCCCAAAAAAACTGAAAAGATCGGAATACAAGCCAGGGTATCTGACATAGCAATTGTACCAAGAAACATATGCATATTCAGTGCCTTGGACAGAACTATCTTGCAGCTCCATGAGCATCTTTTATCAGGGAAGAAAAAAGAAGAAAAAAATATAATGATAAACAAGACTATGTTCTCCTCTGACTGTTATAAACAGGCTGAGGATGAAATTTGGAAGAAAGATAGTTGGGGAATATTTTTTAAGGAAAAAAAAACCCTATTCATAGAATCAGCATGTTGAACTAGCATTGCATGGCTGCTGGCCATGGTGCTGAAAGTGATGCATTGATACAGCATCTTTGGTCCCTTCCAAAGTTCAGTCCTTGCTCAGTCTTCGTGATTATCTCATATTTGATTTGGGTTGTTGCCTCCTCAGGCCAGCGATGATCACAACAGATCAGAAGGCATTACTATCTTATTGTAAGATTACAAAAGCTGAGCTTTTG